ATTGAGGAAGTGAACAGGGTCTAAATAGCTGGATAGTGGAAGCAGTTGGGTGGGACTAGTTGTGGATTGGTAGTGGAGGTCCAGGACCACAGGAAGATGTCGAGGCAAGCAGGGATTGGTGCTGCAGCACTTCTTGCCCAAATAAGGGAAAACATAACAGGAGCGTTCTATCGCCCCCCACACCTGGTAAGCGCAAGGTCCCTAGTTCGAACTCCAGCCCCAAATGCCACATGCCCCCCCCCAGCCTTGCACACCTATAATCCCAGCACTTTGGAGGCTGAGGCAGGAGGATTGCTGCAGATTTGAGACCAGCCTGGGGGCTTTGGGCTACAAAAGTGAGCCCAAGTCCAACCTGAACTGCATAGCAGAGACCCTGCTCAAAAAAAAAAAAAGAAAAAAAGAAAAAGGAAAGGAAAGAGGGAAAACTTAGTTCTCTTTCCCATCATGCAAGATGGCGGGTGAAAAAAACTGAGAAGCCAGACACTAAAGAGAAGAAACCTGAAGCCAAGAAGGCTGCTGCCAGTAGTACTGGTGAATAGGGTAAGGTGATGGCAAAAAAAAAAAAAAAATCCAAGAAGGGGCAGCCCCACTGCAGCTGCAATCCTGTTCTGGTCAGAGGAATTGGTAGATACTCCCAATCTTCTCTGTATTCCAGAAAGGCTTTGAACAAGAGAAAGTACACAGCTGCTAAATCAAAGGTTGAGAAGAAAAAGAAGGAGAAAGTTCTTGCTACAATCACAAACCTGGTTGGTGGAGACAAGCATGGAGGTAGCCAGGTGGTTAAGCTTCAAAAAATGCCTAGATAGGGCCGGGGAGATGGCTCAGTGGAATAAGTGCTTTCCTGGCAAGCGCAAGGGCAAGAGTTCAATCCCCGGTTCCACCAGCAAAAAAAAAAAAAAATAAAAAAAAAAAAAGCCTAGATATTACCCTACTGAAGATGTGTTCTGAAAGCTCTTGAGCCACGGCAAGAAACCCTTCAGTCAGCGTGTGAGGACACTTGAGCTAGCATCCCTCCCGGCACCATCTTGATCATCCTCACCGGGCGTCACACAGGCAAGAGCTGGTCTTCCTGAAGCAGCTGGCCAGTGGCTTGCTACTTGTGACTGGGTCTCTTAGCCTTAATCCTGTTCCTCTACGAAGAACACACTAGAAATTTGTCATTACCACCTCTACAAAAATTGACATCAGCAAAGTGAAAATTCCCAAACTCCTCACTGGTACTTACTTCCAAGAAGCAGCTGAGGAAACCCAGACACCAGGAGGGCGAGATCTTCCACACCAAGGAAGAGAGATACCAGATTTCAGAGCAGCGCAAGGTAGATCAGAAAGTGGTGGACTCAGTCTTTAGCAAAAATGAAAGCTGTTCCTCAGCTCCAGGGCTACCTGTGATCCGTTTTTGCTCTGACAAAT